ATCGTTTAGCAAGGAAACATTCAAGCCGAAATGTGAATATCTCACGTCTAAATATTAGCGATAAATTCATGAAAATATACAGGTACGTTCTTCATGAGGAAATTTAGAGGATACTGAATTCGGGCAATGCTTGGTACCATTCAGTCCAGAACATTTTGTCTTCTCGTCTGCTGTCCAAAAACATAAGAATTAGAATATACAAAACTATTATTTTGCCTGTGGTTCTGTATGGGTGTGAAATTTGGTCTCTGACAATAGGGAGTGTTATGCCCAAAATGTACAAATGTAATATGGGGGAATCGACATTATGTTTTGGATTGTAAAGAGGATTATGCTGACGCAAGGTCCGTGTTTGTGGACGCGGAAGGTAAAACAGCCTGTTAAAAAGAATGTCAGAGCTCAGCACAGCCGCGCTGACAATGCGGAAGCGAGCTCATAAAGGCAAAACACTGGAAGAATAGAAATGCAGAGTAGACAGAGGCTGGCAGAACGCGATTCGCCGCAGTGAAAAGAAATTATCCAATGAGCACTAGCCACCCTTAGAAATAACGTCAGAAAGTGGCGGGAGCTCACACTTCCGGAAGTTGATGAGCCATCAGATTCAGAGTACAAAAGTATGGAAATGGGAAATATTGGAAGCTAATCAAACGATCATTTTCAAGGAGTGTAGCCGAAGGCCATATCCGTCATGGCACCGACAAAGTGGTGGTTGGCGCTCATCTGCATCTCAGTGTCAAGTAAGTCGAACTACTCATATTAGCCATGAAATATAAGGTGATACAATTAAAGAGCAAACCCAGTGACTAAAATGAGCAACAGAACAGGCTAGGGAACCATGTGTCAGTATAGGAGGGCTAACGAATATATGTGAACTTTGTGCGACCCGACAGCAGTCGGCATTAATTACTGTATATATGTGTGTATGTAAGTACTAGAAGAATAGAGTAGGAAAGAAATGTAGAGAACTTCATTGGTACAACCCGTTAGGCTCCTTCCTCCTACCGCACCTGAGTTACCCTACGCCTCTTGGTAACTGTGAGCTCGCAGCCAGGGAGCAACAACCGTCAGTGCAGGAAGAATAAGCTGAGGAAGGGGGAGAGGTTCCGGAGTGACAGGGGCCGACAGAGAGTATACTTCCGTGAGCTACTGTTCTATTTATGTAATTACTAAAATACCCCTCTTACGGTACAATAAGCGGTGGCAGAGGTGGGATTAGCCAAAGAGAGACGGTTGACGTAATAATTTAGTATTTTGTTTAACCACCCCTGTCATCACGGAATTACAATTGGTGGCAGCGTTGCGATTTTCGAACCTCACTCCAAGAGAATAGTGGTGTTAGACTAGGTGTCAAGTATGGCGAGGTAACACAAACTGGTGTTAGTGTAACCGTTCATTCTGACTGGAGGACTGTTGTGTGTAAATTAAATTTGTATTAAGTTAAGATTACAAAATTACAAAGAAAGAGATCCGGCAGATAGCCAGCTCTTACACGCGGAAGGGACATAGTTCAAGTTTTGCTATGTGGACAGGAAGTAACATCTGGTAATTTCCTAGAATTCTGGCAGTTTTAGCAAAGTCGGAAAGGCTTAGAGAAAATGAGCTGACAGCTTGGGACAGCGACAACTTAAAGGTGGGACAGCGACAACTTAAAAGTGGGACGGCCGGAGCCTCACACCCTGATCGTAATGCATCAAGGGGCTGTCAACCTTAGCGTCAGGTCAGCATCTGCCAGAATCACATAGCAGAGCAACATGATTGGGAATTCAAAATTTAGGGAACCTCCTAGTTTGAAAACTTAACCAATGGTAGAAGTGGAGGAGTGGATTTCTCTTGGAGTCTGGGGTTCGTGGACCTCAGGATTCAGAGAGAGTGGATTACACCTCGAGGAGTCTTGACACAACTTTCGGCAAAGTCGGACACAAAATTTACAACTACGGCCCTTCCGTGAAGTAGTATAAGTAAAGTTCAAATTAAGTGTATTAATAAATTCAGTTGTATTCAGAAAGCTGGAAGGGATTAAAGGACTACTAAGTGCAACGGTCTAAAGAGGTGTGTAATTGTAGTGAAGGGTTCTTCCTGCCCTGTCCGAGCCAGACCCATATAAGACCCGGGATAGGAACTCAGCTCTACAGATTACTGAACAGAACCCAGTTACTCCCGTCTTTACCTGCTCTGGCGTAACAGCACCAGCAACCACAATTCTCCCTTTCCATCTAACTTCTCGACATCTACGAGAATAGGGAGGACGGTGATAAGTTGAGCACAACGTAGGATCAAGGAGGACGGCAACAGCGTGGCGCACAACGTAAAGAACCCGAGGAGGTGAGCGGTTACAACAGGTAAACAGGGAAAAATGGAGGCAAGGATAGCGCAGCTTGAGCAGCAATTGAGAGGACTAGCAATACGTGTAAAAACAAAGGATTTATCGCTAGCAACAAGTATAAAGAAATGGAGTGGTCAGTCACAAGCGAAACCGGTGACGGAATTTTTAATGCAGGTAGAACAGTGTGCCCGTGTTAGTAACTGGAACGAAGAAGACAGTCAGCATTATAAAAGCTAAATTAACCGGAGAAGCCAGGCAATTTGTTAACGGTAGAGACCAGTTAACCGATGGGAACGTGAAATATAAAGTATTAAAGGCAGCATTCCTGGACTGTTTCACCGAAAAATTACCAGCTATGTACCACTATAACTTGATTCATGAAGCTAAGTAAGAGAAGGGGGAATCGCCTATTCAGTTTTTAGATAGATGCAGAGGACGGGGCGTAAAGTCCGTAGGAAAAGTGCGGATCCGAGAGAACAACGCATTTTGAAGGAGGAAGCAGATTTCAGACTGCTGACCAATTCATATATGGAATGAGAGGTGAGGCCGGAAGTGAATTATGGGTTCGTAACTCGGAAACGCTGGAACAGGCGTTAAACATGGCTATTGTGGTGTACAATGCCAAGAAAATTGAACTTCGCCCTGGAGACTACGGTACGCTAACCGTGAAGACCGAGAAGAACTTCACGAATCCGAGAAGATATAGGCAGCCATTGCGTCAGAGGGGCCAGCCGCAGGGATCGCCGGTACGACGACCCCATGAACGAAAGGATAAAAATAGAGATTGGGTTCGATCCCCAGTCACGTGTTTTTCGTATGGTCGGCACGGCCACATAGCAAGGGACTGTGAGGCGAGAAGAAGGCCCACAACCTAGAAAGGGCAGCACTCCCCAAACTAATTTCGGCGGTAGAGAACCCCGTCACCCGCCTAAGGGAAACCGCGTGGAACCCACTCACAAGAGCAGGAGAGGATAAAGAACTGTGCATTACAGTGGAGATCCAAGGAACCAACTACGATTTCATTATAGACACGGGAGCTGACGTGTGTTTATTTCAACCCTACGTGGGAGATGAACCCACGAAAGAAATCACGGACGCGGTAAAGGTATAAGTGGACAAGGGTTAGAGATAGAAGGTGCCAGACAATTGGACTTTGTAATAGGGAACAAATGTTATACCCACAGTTTCGTGGTCGCGCACTTTTCAGCCGACAAGGGCGGAATAATAGGGCTAGATTTATTACGAATGCTAGGAGCCCGTATCGACATAGTGGCCGAGGAAATAGACTTGGACGGCCAGAGAATTAAACTGAAGAACCACCCGCCGGGTGGAAAGAAAGCTAACAAAGGACATTCGAGAATCTACAAGACGGAGCCGCAACTGCGGAAAAGTCCAGAAGAAAAAGTAGAAGCATCTACAGAGACGACCACGGACGAAAGGAGACCGGCGGTAGAGGCAGTAAAGAGATTGGCCGGTAAACTGAGGCAAGCCAGCCAAATAGCGAGAAGGAAGCTGACCCAGGGGGGAAGGGACCAGCAAACTCGCCACATTCACGGAGCACGAAGGGTGGAGTATCATCCACGCCAGCTTGTGTACCGAAAGCAAATGGTAAAGGAAAAAAGCTAGAACCTAAATGGTTAGGCCCATACCAGGTGGTACTAAAAATCTCTGACCTAGTGTACAGGGTAAAATAGGGAAAAGAGAAGCGAACTGCACGTAAAGCAACTGAAGCTATGCAGGGCCACATGAGAAGAACTCCGTGAAAGACGGACACAAACTAAGCGACGGATCCTGGAACAGCGACCCCGAAGGAAGAAGGAAGAGAAACAGACTCCGACGACGCATTGTCGGAAGAAGAAAGCCAAGAGAGGTCTCCATACTCATACGCGTCGTATGAGAGACGAAACAGACAAAGAATGAGGGGACAGAGACCCAGGATCGGACCAGAAGAAGGAGAGACGAACTCAGTTGATTCAACATCGGAAGATGACGGAGAGAGCGTTAGGCTCGTACATAACGTATGAGCGGCGACATGAGATTGAGTCAAATAGCGAAGTCAGCACATATGCTCCAGCTGTGGAGGAGAGGGATACAGGACGAATGAGAGAGAGAGAGAGAGAGAGAGATCACGCTAGTGTAAATGCAAATGGTGGTTCGTCAGCATTAGATACGAAGGAGACGAACGAGTTAAGTGAGGAACGGGCTGGTTATTCACTGCGCCCCGAATTCAGCGTAATTATAGAGAGTATAGACGGCCGGAGGCCGAAGTACGAGCAGAAATAACGGATACTGACGTACCCCGTTTTGTTTCCAGGACAGAAACTTTGAGAACTAGGGTAGCAAAATTAGTACACGACGATACGGAACCCGTAACAGTTAGCCGCGAAATTGTTTCGAGAGCAGGGGGGTGTAACTCCCATAGGGGAGAGGGAAACATGCAGACCCGCCATCTATGAACATTTACATGAACTAGGTAGTCTGGTAATGACTGGAATCGATCATTCGCATTCAATCGAATCGCGTAAGTGTGAGCCAATCAGAGGATCTTAAATTTCCGTTGAACGATTTTGGCTCTTCGGCGGGGGGGTTCCCACAGTAAAACGAGTAAAACTGCGTAGCTTGTGAACGTATATGTACGTCATTGAGGTATGTCGTGCAATTAGATTAATTAGTAAGTAGGGACTTTGATTTGATGTAATGAAATGAGAGTCCACATTTACGCATGAATTTACATCTGTGTGTTACTTATGTGAATGGATTATGCTTACTACGCCCAGTGAAATTAGAAACAAACATGAAGTCAGTGTTACTATGATACGTCAGCCAAAACGTATTTCTGTATTTTAAACATCTTTCGGTGTAGCCTGAAGAAGGACCGTAGAATCTTAACAAAGTGAGAGTGTACTGTGATTCTGTTATAATTTTTGTGTTGTTTCTTGCATTAGATATGGGAAGAAAGAAAAGGTGTTTTGCACCAGGTTGCATATCTCCCAGTAACCATACTGGAATTAAATTCTTCCATTTTCCCAGGAATTCAGCACGGTATGAGCCAGATCTGAAATATTATTATAAAACATACTGTAATATTTTGGCCAGTGTTATTAAAGGAGCTAAAAATCTTCATTATAATCAAATCAATTTCTAATTCTAGTAACAAAATGAAAACCACTTGGACATTATAAAATCAGACACAGGTAGAAAAATTAATAATGCAGATATACAGTTTTTAAACATTGATGGGAAGTTAACTGATAATCATGATGTTATTACAGATTCTCTTAATAATTATTTTCGAACAATAGCTAGACAACATCAATACCAATAATGTTCGAAATTTTCTGTGATTTGAAGAAAACCTATGACTGTGACATTATCTGTCTGTCTATCTCTCTGTCTAAAGTAGAATTTTATGGAATAGTTGGTAAGGCCAATGCATTGATAAAATCCAATGTGAAAGATAGGTACCAAAGGGTAAGTCTATTTTACTCATTGGAGGAATAATTTAACTCCAATATTAATTAATGATCTTGGTCTGTTATATGCTGGATGCCTAGTAGTATACTTTTATGTTTTATTATTGTAGTCTTGTGTCGTTAGTGTGCTGCATTCTTTCACATATATATTTTAAAACTGTGTTAATGATTTACTTACTGTGATTTGTCTTTGATAATATGTGTGATTGTTGTGGGTTAAATATAAAAATTTGTATTTATATCATTCGTGGGATTTGTCCTGTTGTCTTTGACTATTACTATATCCACTCTTCTTCCAGCCATGTAAGGATTAATGGAAAGTAAATAAATGAATGAATGTCTGTTTTAGTCATGATGTAATGTAGCACCTACACCATGTTTGTAATGTTTCCTGATGAATTATTTCAAGGTTTTGAGACGATATGTAATACTCTTACAGGGCTATGGTATGGGCAGGAAGAGTTGGGTTATCCTGTACTACTGATTCTGCTAGAATGCTGTACGATAAAGTTCTGTGCAGCAAACATTTCTCTGAAAGTGATTTCACTACAGCTGAAAGGGTACACCTTAACAGATGTGCAGTTCCATATGGCACAGATTCTGCTGCACAGTCACTCCCACAACCTCCTGATACTTCATTACACACACCTTCCTTTGATACCTTGCCTTCAGATTTATCTCCTGTACATGATCTTAAAGTCCTACCGCCCACCAGAACCTACAGCAAGACACTTGTGCCCTCTGCTGTAGCACCTGTTCCTATTCATGCAGACAGTCCTTCCACTTCCTTTCAAATGTCTGCAATCCAATCCTCACCAACAGCAGGCAACACTTCTTCAGTGAAAGAAACCTCCTATCTCTTAGGCTCTGGAAATATATATGCTTCTGATGGGGCACTCGGGCATATCAGTTGTCAAAGTTCCTCCTCAAAGCCGAGAGCAAGGCGTTCTCTGCTGAAAGAACTTAATTTGGCTTCGCTTTCTGAATTGACACCGAGGAAAAGGAAACTATATGAAAAAATTCGGAATAAGGAGAGTGCACTCTGTAAACTCAAAAAGAAATACAAAGGAAAGAAGTTGGAAAATCTCTGTGATGTGGACAGTGATCCACTTATGGAGAGACTTTCATCTTCTCTCAGTGTAGAGGCTGCCAGATTATTGGCAGCAGTTATTAGGAACAGCAGGCAGAAACCTCAGGGAAGGAGGTGGGATTTCGAAGAGAAAGTGTTGGCCCTGTGTCTCCTTAAGCGTAGTCCCAAATCCTATATCCTCCTCCGAACACTACTCCCCTCCCATCCAGACGATCCTTGCAGTCTCTCCTCAGTACTGTTCCATTTAGGACAGGCATCAATGCTCGTGTGTTTCATGCACTCGAACAGTCTCTGCAGAAAATGTCTGGTGAAGATCGATATTGTTGTCTCATGTTTGATGAAATGTCAATCAGAGAGAACTTGCATTTCAATCAGAAGTTTGACTGCATTGAGGGTTTTGAGGACTGTGGAAGTCAGGGCAGGACTTGCAGCATTGCATCGTCCTCGACTAGTGATATTGAACACTGTTCAAAAATCACTAGTCGAGGACAATGAGGTTGGCAGTGCATGTAGCACGAATGGGGGAGGCGAGGAATGCATATAGGATATTGGTGGGAAAGCCAGAGGGAAAGAGAGACTGCAGTACAAGAGATGTGGTTGTAAAAGTATGTAGTGCTAGTAGCGAAAAAAAAAGCATTGGAGGGGAAGAGGGGGGAGCACTCAAAATAATTGGTAAAGTAGCATACCTTCTTACCGATTGTGCTCTCGGCCCAGGAGGTCATTTTACATTTAGTTCCGTGTAAAATGAACATAGATGGCAGCAGCATTGCACCGAGGTGTCATGGCCGCCACGTTGCCAACCAATAACATGGGAGTTGCATGGGGCTGTTCTAAGTTAACCTGCATTCAAACTGAAGAGTGAACTTTGGACGCCCCTGCAACGAAACACGCATTACGTGATTGCTGCATGATTTCATTCAAAGAACGAAGGGGAGACCGCGTGCATTTGTTTACGAGGACTTTCTCGTCTCCGCGAATGGACTGTAGTAGATCATGATATATTGCTAAGTAAGATGGAAAGAATGGGAATACGAGGGGTCACAGTAAGGTGGTTCCAAACATAATTAGAAAACAGAGAACAAGCGGCAGAAATTACATACAGATGCAAAAAAACTAATCGTAACATTAATTACCTATCCCGAAAGAGACCCATCAGCTATGGCGTCCCACAAGGGACCGTTCTGGGACCAGTGTTGTTTCTGTTATACATAAACGACCTGGAGGCCAGCATAGAACATGGGAAACCTACGTTCTTTGCCGATGATACTAGCATTTTTATAGCAGGAAATAGCGCTAACAAAATTCAAAGGAAAACAAATGAAACAATAACAAAATCACAGAGTGGTTTGAGAGGAATCGATTAACTATTAATAAAGAGAAAACAATAGCAATAACCTTTCATCATCCTCAAAAACTACAACTTGAATGGCCTCCAATAAAGATTTATGACACAGTTATCAACTACACAGATCACTCAAAATTTCTGGGAGTCTGGCTAGATAAGCATCTAAGATGGACTATGCATACGCAAAAGCTAGCGAACAACTTATGTAAAGTATGTTTTGGCCTAAGTTTAGTTAGAAGAGTAACTGGACTAGAGACTATCCGCACATTATATTATGCTCACTTCCAGTCTTTGTTATCATACGGACTGATATTTTGGGGCAACTCGGTAAATGCAAAATTGATCTTTAAATTACAGAAGAGAGCTATAAGAGCTTTGACCCAGGTCCCAAAAGTGACTAGTTGTAAACAGGTTTTCAAATCATTACATATATTACCTCGACCATCTTTGTACATATACGAAACTCTAATATACTGTAACGTGTCGGCAAACCAGAGGAGTAACTTCTATGGAAACGCTACAATAGACCGTTACAGGGGAGACAACAATGGCTCCATTGTAATTCTAACAGGAGTCTCCATGGTTATAACGGAGGGTTCGTTGCCTAACAGCGGGCAAGGTTATAGATAGCCCGGCTTCAGCGAGAAACAGTGAGTCTCGGAATAGCATTCGAAGAAGTGAGTCGCGGAACAGCCATCGGAGAAGAAGCTTCGGAATATCCGTCTGGGTCCAGTATCGCCGGAATATTGTAAGCAGTGATTGTGACACTGCAAGTGTGATGCCTGTAAAGTGTGTAAGTGAGCGAAGGAAATAAATTCGCTATATACCAAACCACGGCGTGAACTTATTTGTAGCGTGACACACAAAACACGCTACAATACATAAAATCCAATTCAAATGAATTCATAACCAACTCAGAATTACACTCATACAACACAAGGAAAAAAGATGACTTGCACATCGTCCCATGTAATACAAGTCTATGAAAGAACAACTTCAACAATGTAGGACTATGACTGCTAAATCATCTGCCACGATATATTAAAGAAATACAGGTACTATATAAGTTCAAAAGCGCTTTGAAAACTTACCTACTCGATCATTGTTTTTATAAAGTGGATGAGTTTCTCTCGTGTGAGACAAACACGAATCAATTATAACCACATAATTCACTAATAATCGGTTTTGGGAATCCCTACTGCGCAGTTTTCCTTTCTTTCTTCCAGCAACCAAGATAACACAGTCGTAGAGGGAGAGAGACAGAGGCGAAGATTTGATGCAAGATATGATCTACATATTCCGTGACGATCTGTGTTAGATAATTTGTACAATCTATGGCGAGTGATACGTAGTTGATCCGTGGAGTAGCATGGCCGTTTCGGTCAGGTCTTGAATGGTCTTTCGCGTGCAGTCGCATGCATGTTTTACGTCATGTTTCTCCATATGGTGCAGCTCCTGCACGTGGTGCAATGGAGGTTGAAAGAAGGTTGTGTAATTTTGGACTGATGTAGAATTTGGATGAAGTTGTTGGTGGTTAGGACTCTAAACATACTCTTAGTATGGTAAGTATTTGTAGTGTTGTGAAGGAAAAATGAGAAATTCCTGTAAATCAAAGGAAACTGCAGCGATGATTAAGCAAGGACCTAAATAGTTGCGCACTGCAGTAGAATCTCAGCGCATGTGAGTTGAATACTTGATGGAAAAGAGTTTGTGTAACTGAGATAACAGGTATAGATGATATTTACTTCGTATTTTGCGACGGCCTGTAGTTCCAATACTGACCGCTTCATCAAATAACTAGCGTAACCGATAAAAGGAAGCATGGTATTGTATCGGAATTTACAGTATATAGACGAATTTTGCCGCATGGTTATTTACTGTAGCAGTATGGGTTGTCCGTAATTATAAATTGGGCAAGTGGTAAACATACGAAGTTACCTTAATGCGTAAATTTGGTTCACAGTTAACAAATTTTCTCTTGGCGTGGAGGTAGGAAATACGTGCCGAAATGTAGTTAGAAAATATGAAGATGTAAGCATAGGTTGGATGATTGTACAGGGTCTCTTTTAGTGAACTTGACGCGTTCACGGCTTTGCGCTTCACGGGGATCGGAGCCCCGCTTGCTGCGGAGTACACGCGAATATTGCCGGTGACTCAGCATGCCGATAGCATTGGGAATGAAGGACAGTTCCTACCATTGTTCACATATCACAGGAGGTGTTGAAAATCAATCAATTTATTTGTTCCAAGAATCCATATTTGGTGATACAATCTCCTGATATAGAATAAGTCAATATCTACGTATTAATATAACATAGCGTATACATGAGTCAACTACACTATAGAACTTAAATACGTACAGATTTCATCCACATCAGTCATACAATACATCATCCCACTTGCAACAATTCAGTAACCAAAAGAAACCCTGCATGCATCCAGAGATTCTTTTTATGGATTAAGTGAGGACAAGATATTTGTCATAACATAAAACCATAACACACTCACTTAAGAATTAAAGGGACATAAATTCATCAATGGAATAAATTGAATGTTTCAAGAGAAAGGATTTTAATTCCTTTTTAAAAGTGTTACAATTTTTCTTTAGTTTTATCTTCTCAGGGACCTTATTATACAAGGTGATTCCCATATTTATCGTGCTTGCATATTGTAATAACTTCCACAATTAATTGTTTCGTTAAAAACATGTACAATCCTTGCACATACAGCACACCAAACACCAACTTTCACTGTGTAGCTTCAGCAATTGTGTTGCCATTCTTGCCCAAGACTTTGACACTCCAGTCTCTTGAGCTAGATGTTTCAATGATTTTCTACGTGTAACTGTTCTTAAATTCATCCATGCCTCTATTTAAGTCTCTGATGTTCCTGTTCTTGCTGTTTCTTTCAGGTTTATTAATTTTGTCCTTCAGATATTCCTGATTTTCATTCTGGAGATGTCTACACGGCTTTCATTGTTAAGATTACATCTGTTTATTATTCTTGGATCCTGTAACAATTTGCTTGTCTTCTTTAATATAATAATTTTGAATGTCCTCTATCAAACCATGGTTTATGCTGCTTCAGTTTGTAATGACTTAGACTGTGTTTGGCTTAAATTTTGATATTTTTTGTAAGCAGTCAACAAAGTAAAGATCCTCTCTGTATAAATTTCAATCTCATGAAAATGTTTTCCCATTTACAGAGTAATTTTCAAGTTTGTTTCTTTTCCTGTTTGAACACTTGGAGTAAACACCACTGTATTTTATTGTATTTCTGCATCCTGTTGCATTGCTGTATCACTTTGTACACGCTCTTCCATTTTTAATGCAACTTTGTTTACAGTTCTTAAAAATTGAAATTAAACTGCTACATGTTTTGGCCATAGTTTGCTATCCTCAGGTAACTGTTCACTTGTTGAAATTGCTACACTGCATTAATTCTTAAGTTAAAATATTCCAATGTTATTCCATTTTTGTCATTCACTCATTAAAATACATTTGCTTGACAACATCACTCTTTCTTTTCATGCACTACCTTCTTCTTGCGGCATCAGTATATTCTGTAATGTATAAAATATGTTCGTGATTTTTATTCTTAAAATTGCATTAAAGATGGAAGTGAATGTGTAAAGTGATACCACTTTATTTGATATTTCAGGTTATGCAAGTAGCATACATTTGTTTAAAATGCTTGGTATTCTGTGTACCAGTAATACTGCAGTTGAAGATCTGATATGCATAGGGACATCAGCAGCATCACAGTTATTTCTCATCACAGGTCTGGCCCACCAGCTATGAAGAAATACTATCAGCTTGCATTGGTGATTATCTCTCTTGTGAGTGTGGTGACATTGCTGTTTTATCGGCATGAATATAACAGACTTCGATATGTGTTGGAAGTTTTGAACTTTTTTGGGAAACCTGGAGGACAGCAAAGTAGTCTGACTTCAGATGACTGTATTACTAGAAATTCATCACATGGTAAAGAATTTTTAAACTTTGCAGAACCAGAACCTGCATGGCAAAGGCTTAGTGATACACATTTTCTTTATTCATCATATTGGGAACTATCTGAAAAAGAAAGAAGGGTCAGAGCTCTATCAGTAGAATTTGGAGATAGCATTCCAGATTTTGCTTGCAGTTTCTGGTTTGAAAACACAGATGCAGCTGTCTTAGGAACATTCAGCTTTTCAAAGATTGAAATGAAAGAAGTTGTTAAGGTAGCTTTAAAAGACAAAAACAGACCAAAAGTAACTGGTTACTATTTATTTTGTAAAGCTAAAGATATTAGTAATGTACCATATGGAGTCTCATTTTACAGTACTGAAGATATTGTGCCTTCCAGAGTTTTCATCCCTGTGTATTACACAAACGAGAAATTAGCATCATCAAATAGCACTGCTATTTGTATTGTCTCATCTCCAATGCCGGGTTTACGGAAGTCAGCTGTTGCAGAATTTTTGAGCTACCACCAGTTTGTTGGAGTGACAAATTATATCATATATAATGGAGGTTTTCCAAATAAAGTTCTCTCAGTTCTTCGTGGCACAGCAGTACGGGAGGGACTAGGTCTTGGTATTTCAGTTCTCCCCTGGAACTTTCCTGTCCGTTCCCGACAAGCAGAGGGAGTGGCAAGGATGGTGATGGAGAAGGACTGTCTCTTCCGTACCAGGGGGAAAATCCATAATGTTGCTGCTTTAACATGGGAGGAATACATAGTTCCCAGGTATCACCATTTGCTTCCATCCATGCTAGATGACTTTGATTCTAGAAGGACGACTACAGCAAGGTTTGAAATTCCAACCATAACATTCTGTACTGAATTTCCTGATGATGAACAAGCAGAACCAGGTTCTCCTTTGATGTTTCGTAAAACTCGATACCGTGAAATAGATAACAGTGAACGTCCATTTTATGTGTACCGTCCACATTTGATCTCAGCCAGCAGCAGGGAGCTGGCTGCGACAACACAGAATGTGCCTCAAAGAATTGTAGCACTGCATCGCTATGCACCATGCTTCCAGAGTGGGAAGCAGCTTGCTGAACAAGCATACATTAATGAACCTGCCATGTTACGATTTTCAGGTGATCTAAAGAGATCACATTTGCTCACGGTATGGTCTTCGAATAGACTGTTTATATGAGTGTTTTCCAAGTGACCTGCCAGAACTTTTATGTCACATTATCTATGCACTCAGGCACAGAATTTTGACATTTTTCTTTGATAAATTTATCGAGTGACATGAGAAAGAAATACTACTTACATAAAATGTTATGAAATACTAGGCTAAATTAAACTGTTGGCATGATTGTTTTCATAATTAAGTTGTTTGGTGGTTTTAACATCCTTGATATTCATCCCGCTGCAAATTGGTCTGGCTACATCTCAGACATCCAATATGGCATACCAAGGTTCAGTTTACATGATATCTGTGTGGGTCCTATAGCAGACAAAATTTTGCTCTGCTAAATTATATTCCCTGCATAGTTTGCCATTAATGCCATAAATATTATAAACTATAATAGGTGAAGTACATTGTGGGTAGGTGTCATAATAGCTCAGCCAGTATGATTGGCTGTGGACTGAGAAATGGGTTTTATTGTGTAGGAACAGGGATTTTTGCTTTTGCTGCAATGTCCAGATTGGCTCTTAGGTCCATCTAGTCTCCTGTCCATCTGGTACTGGGAATAAAGCAGCCAGAACATAATGGTGAATGCTCATTTCTACCTAGTTCTGAGGTTAAATAAACATATGTGAAGCTGTACCTTCACTGTCACATACAGCTGCATGGTGTGGTGCTCCTTTAAGGACAGGATAATTTACTTTTTTACTTTCTCATATTCATATTATATATGATAAAATATTGCAATGGTAAAAAAAACACGTCAAAATGTTTTCAGAATCCCTGAATATGAAAACAACCAAAGATATAATACATAAGATATAGTTTCATATATTCTGAGAAAGTATTGTGATGGCAAAAAATTGATCTTGGAAGTCTGATGGATTTACTAGATGGTAAATGATACAAACTCCGTCTCAAGTGCAAAAAATATATTTTATGTCCTTGATCTTGCTCTCCTTTATGCTACATGTTTCGGCCTCAAACGGCCACCATCAGGTGTATACACTCACGTTGCTGTTACACTGCACTTAGTTTAAAATTTAACATTAAAAAACACATTGTTCCTTTCTTTGTTATTATCAACATCTGCTTCGTTGATATCTGTCTGGTTTATAGATTATTTTTTGTTACACACATTAATTTTGATTTCCCTGTAGTAGCACTATAAAATCTTTAGTTCTAATTTTAAAATCCTTTAAAAATGTTCTCTAAATTTTAAAATTTAAAATTTAAAATTGTAGGGTTACTCGCCATATGTCTAAAGTGCTGCAGCGGCTAGTTCTTGTTTCCCGTACTGTACAGGTTTCTTGATAACAGCCAGCAGTTTTGACTAAATTCCAGTAAAACTTCAAGAAAGTAATAGTAAGCATGCTAGGGACCCAAATGGTTATGCATTGTATCCATGTCCTGGCTTGTATAATCAGCAACAAATCAGTGGTCATTTTTTGGGGTGTCATGGGAGAAGCACGTGCAGTGTCTCTGCGCTGATTCTTACAGTGTGTTAAACAATCTGGCCAGTTCAGTGAATGAGTCAGTAATTCCTGTGTAGTATCCCGCCGTAGAGTTGGCTGAGATCTTCCAAGCCGGAGTGCGAAGTCCGATGAAGCCAAGGTAAATTTTATTTGTGGAGCTGAGGTTCACGCCGTTTAAGAGTGAAAGCTCAAGACTACAGAGCAGTTGACTATGTGAATATTTATTAAAAAAGAATGAAATAAGATGAAAGTTATACAACCACCAGTGATTACAAGAAGGCAAGACCAGAACCCTGCGAGCTGAAATTTTCTAAGTCCACTTCGCTGAGCTGAGTCGCATAGAGACGGCCCTCACGAAGTCTTCGAAAAGTGTCCCCCCTCTCCTGTGATTACGGAGAGCTTATAAACAATTTGACATCCGGTAACTGACGTCATACCTCCCTCTTATGCACTGAGTCTTGCCTTTTACATTGTCTTAGTATGGAAAGTTACAGGACATAGGTTCGGTGGACCAAGTCCACACTTGTTTACTTCATACATATATTTTTATAAAATAATCAGGCGGATATTGGGCAATGTATAGGTTCCAGCGTGTCTGGGGCTGGCAACATGTGGTTCGCCGTTCGTTTGATGCTACACCTCCCCCCCTTAAGGAGATTGGCGCACAGAGGGGTTTTGTGCCCAATCTAGGTAATGCCTGTTACCTTTTACCAACTGCCTGGTTTCTACTACTGGTTCTTGATACCCTAACACCTATGGTGGCATTCATAGGAGTCATCTCCGTGAACTCCTTTGGTGTGTCTTCGTCATCCACGTGGGTAGCCAGGCTAAGCATCGCGCCTCTTCTATGCAGACTGTCACTGGATGTATGAACACTGTTTATTATCCTAGGTTTAAAAATAATAGCACTACATTTACTATCGTCCCAGGCCCACTTTACAAACCTGGGCCAGCAATTCCTGCAACAGCGGCAACAACAACAACAACACATAATCCCAATTAATAATGCCAGCGCGGCTGCGCCGATTGAGGATAACACCGACAACTGGCGGGTACTCTTTTCATGTTTCAATTTCCATTCCTGTTCCTCTATAAGTTTTTCAACGTCTTCAACCTTATGGCTCGCCAGCCGCAGCTCATCATTATGAGTGAGTACGTTCTTAAGTGGCGTTTCTAATTGTAGCTCGTCTAAGTGAATTTTAGTTTTATCATTTTCGCAACAATCTAAAGGTAAATACAGAGCTGGGATGATATCCTTCCCAGTGTGGTTTACATAATGGGAAGTGATTGATCTTATCATTACCTTATTACTATAGCCTGTACAATCAAGTAAAAATGACAAAATTCCACTGTTCTTAATTTCTAATTCTGTCGGTTGTTGGGCTGGACATAGGATCGTCATTTGGCTCGGAACAGGCGCTATATAAATCCAGGAGTTCCTCTTGAGGGGTATCCACAGAGTCTCCTTCAGTTCGATAACCCTTTGGGTACATGTCCTTGGGACTAACCTAATTGGTTGCAGCATTGACACTTCACAATCATCTGAAGAATGGCTTATCAACAAGGGGAAGTCTTGTTTACATACAAGTTGCTCCTCACTCATTTTCTTACAAGTGTTAAGATTTTCTTGTCTAAGCTTAACATAATATTGCCTAGTACTGTCAATCAACATGTATTCCTTGTCTGGCTGAATAAAAGTGTACTTATTTCTTGTTTCATTGACCTTGATAGGAAAGGGTATGACTTTATAAATATCATACACATGGTGAGTCACTAGTGGGACTCTCACAACGTATACTAATTTACCTCTTACAACATATGTTTCTATAGTAATAACATTAATAAGTAAATAAGTGTAAGCTTCGCTCAGTTGAACAGGGACTTGTAAATCACGTGGGAACGAATCCCGACTGGACTTCAAAATCTGAATTAGGTAACCTGGTGATAACACCTGGGGTTGTATAATCCCACTCCTTGCATTCAAGCATGACTGAAGTATCACATCGTATTCATTCTTTACTTCCTCCAATGCGCGTTGTATTTGAATAGCATGATCATTTAAAGTTACTAACATGGAAGTATATGTATACTTCTCCTTTAATTCCCCATTTTCTTCATTAATGAACTTTCTAATGTCCCGTAGACCCTTTTCTAAAATCATCTCATTTTTTGACACATCGTTTAAAGTTTTGTTAACCGACTTCAATGTCGATTTTACAACGACCATCTGTTCCCGTGCTAGTTTTATTAGATCAGATTGTTCTCCTTCTAATTGGTTGATTCTACTGTTATATGCTTCTTCGTTTTCTGAGTCTAAGATTCCAAATAATGTATGCGATATCTGCCCTACAAAGTTAAAAAGTCCTCTTTTCTTGCGGGGTGCATTCCTTTCTGTTTTTGTTAATTGCGTTACCAAACCTCTCATTTCCTTTAAATTTTGCAATCTCCTAGTTGCATCTAAAATTGTGGTTCTGCACTCCGTCAAATTTAACCATAGGGAGCTATCATGTTTCTTGCAGAAGTTGATAGTGGCTTCCACGTATCTTTCTATCGTGTCCACGTTTGCGCTGGCTTGTTGTAAGTCAAGGTAGGTCATTACTTTCCAGTCGCTGGTGCTCAATCTTGCTTCGCCTTTGTGTTGGTAGTATAATCCTGGGGAACTTTCTATGGGCTCATTTCTTATGTCGAGTCCCTTGGCCATGAAAACCTGGCTGATTATCCACACATGGGTACAGCTATCAGAAACTTAGATAATTCATCTTGAATGGTTAGAATATAACGGTTTCCTGTCATACTAGGGCTCAAAGGTCCTACTATGTCGATCGTGCATTTCTCGAACACAGCTGAGGGGGTATCGGTTATCACCAGCGGCAGCCTAGTGTGACATTGGGTCATTTTATTCTTCTGGCATTTCTCGCATCTTTGAATGAACTTTTCTACATCACTTTTCATTCCTGGCCAATTAGTAAAGTGTCTCAACCTTTTGTAAGTTTTATTCATGCCAGCGTGGCCTCCAACGGGGGACTCATGTATTTCCCTTAAAATTTCCATCTTTTCCTTATCGGTGATTTCTTTATTTTCCTTATCTCGACTTTCACTGTCATCATGATCCTCTTCAGTCACTACTCTAACACACTTATCTTCGTCGGCACTTGTGTACATCCTGCTTAATCCATCGGCATTGGAATTTTCCTTGCCCTTCTTATACACTATGGTGTATTCAAATTCTTCTAATTTTAATTTCAGTCTCATTATTCTTGAACTCGGGTCGTTCATCCGAAAGATCCAAGTCAGTGGCTTATGATCGGTCACAATGGTGAATTTTCTTCCCCAAATGTAGGGTCTAAATTGTCTGCACGCCCAGACAATTGCTGTAAGTTCTCTCTCAATAGTGGAGTAATTCTTCTCCGGGGTGGTTAATACGCGGCTTGCGAATGCAATGGGCAGGTCCTTGCCAATTGGTCCCTGACTTAATACACTACCAATTCCATTGGAACTAGCGTCACTTGTAACAATAAATTCCCTTTCAAAATCTGGGTATTGAAGTAACGGCTTACTGCATAAAATATCCTTCAGCTTCCGGAAGGCTGTTTCTTGTTCCTCTCCCCAAATATATGGCACATTCTTGCCTGTGAGCTTGTGCAACGGCTTAGCGATTGGGCTAAATTTTGGGACGAATCTTCTGTAGTATCCAGCGAGTCCAAGAAATGCCTTAAGTTGTCTCACGTTACTGGGCACAGGGAAATCTCTTACCGCTGCTACCTTCCTGTCGTCGGGTTCTATACCCTGGCGAGTAATTTTGTGACCTAGATAGCATACTTCCTTCCTTAGAAATTCACACTTGTCCGGTTGCAACTTGAGGGAGTGTATTCTCAACCTGTCAAATACTTCTATTAATCTATCATTGTGCTCCTTCAGCGTGATTCCCCAAATAACAATATCATCTAGGTAAATGAGTGCCTTCGTCCCTGTTAACCCACTTAAAACTTTAGTCATCAGTCGTTGAAACGTGGCTGGGGCGGAGCAAATACCCATCGGCATTGTGCAGTATTCAAAATGTCCGTCTGGTGTTGAAAACGCAGTCTTCTGGCGATCCTCTTCTCGGAGCGGAACCTGATGAAATCCGCTGGCGAGGTCAGCGGTTGTGAAGTAACGCGCTTTTCCTAATGCATCTAGGATCTCCGTTATGAGGGGTAGGGGAAAGGAGTCCCCGACAGTCACTTCATTCAGTTTTCTGAAGTCCACTACCAGTCTCCACTTCTGTTTCCCTGATGCGTCTTCTTTCTTTTTCACTAAGATTATGGGGGAGTTCCATGGGCTGGTAGAGTGCTTAATAATCTTGTCATTTAACATCTGCTCCGTTATTTGTTTTAATTCACCCTTCAGCGCTTCTGGGATCCTGTAATTCCTACTTGCAATTCCCCTACACGGATCTATACTGGGGGTTGGTATTATGTGCTCTACTGCTGATGTGGTAGTCAACTTATCTCCGGGTAGGTGAAATATATCATTGTAATCTTCACATATCATTAATATCGAATTTCTTTCTTCATTACTCATGTGAGCCGTTCTGATTTTACTTCTTAGTTCCCGTAACCTGTCTGGTTGCGTTGCCTCCCTCCGGGCTTGCACGGTTCCTACCTGAATGGTTTCTACTTCACATTCCTGCAACCTCACCGTGGGTAAGGTTATCTCCACCGCTTCTTCATTTGTGTTTACTATGGTTGTGAAGCAGGCGCCTTCTCGTGCTGTGGTCAAAGTTCCCGCTATAATGACTCCTGATGCGATCTCGGTCTTCTCTAGTAACCCAGTTTCCTTATCTTTCGACTCGGTCGGTATTCTAACAACTGTTTCACATCTTGGGTTCAGGGTGACTCGTATTTCCTTACCCTGTGCCTTTGTCTGTTGGACATCATCAAATTTTAACGTTACTTTCCCCATGACAATTTCTTTCCTTGCATAATCAATGGTTGCTTGCTTGGCTTCGAAAAAATCTTTTCCTAAAATGCCGTCACACGGGATATTCACACCATCTCCCGTCACCTGAAATTTGTGTTCGGTTTCGAAGTTTCCAGTTGTTAGCTTTACGTTTATTTCCCCTAATGTTCTTTCAGTTCCCTCAGATATCCCTCTTACATTGAGCGCCAGGTGGGGATTGTACGCAGTGCCGTCCCTTATACTCTTATGCTTCAACAAACACAGTTCAGCTCCTGTGTCAATCAGTAACTTTATCTCATCTTCGGATCCAATATCCGTTCCCATAGTGACCGTATTTAATGCTGTGGTTGCTTCTTTTGTGCAGCCTAATATCGTGGGGTGGGGTTTACAGTGGGGCTGCTCCCCTGTCCCCGCTCCCCGTTTCCCGTATTACCACTTTCTCTCCATGCAGGTCTATTCTTTTTCTTACAAAATCTACTTATGTGCCCAATAGCTCCGCAAGCGTGACACTTAATATTATCACTCATACTTCCCATAACAGCGTGCTCCCTGGCTACGCCTTCCTTTACTACATGCGCATGTCTAGTATTATTATCAAAACTCACCCTGCGTCCAGGGGGTTTATAACCTCTGTATTCTCCTTGGGGTGCGAACCCGGACCCTCTACCAGGTCCCTTATCTCTACTACCTGCATGGCTTCGGGGGGCAGCAAATCCTCTCTCTTTTGCTGATAAAATGGCGGATTCCTCTTCCATTGCGGCGTCAATGCATTCTGACAATAAGGCGGCCTCTCCCTTGGCCCTAACGATGGTCTGTACTCTCTCATTGCTCAAACCTTGCACGAAACATGCTTTCGCGAGGTGGTTAATTAATCCCATCGCCCCTATTGTTTCTTCTTCTGAGCATATTCGATATGCAGCTTCTCTCAATTGCGACTGCATGGTGTCTATCCTACTGCTCCATGACGCTATGCCTTCATTCAGGCCCTGCCTGCTGCTGAACATCCTACAGGCATAATAATCCAATGTCCTCTTGACATCATAATTTTCTTCTAAAATCTGTTTAACTTCTCGCCACGTCGACGTTAAATCTCTCACTAGCAATTTGCTCCTCGCCTCCCCGGTAATCTTAGTCTTCACAAATTTCAACAGGAGGTCATGCTGATCTGGCCTAACAAGTTCAAATGCCGTGGTCACATTGTCAATAAATTCCTTCAACTTTCTTTTGTCTCCGTCAAACGGTTGGTTGATTAATTTCATAACCTCCGAAATGGTACAGTACCTTCCCTCCATTATTTCCGTTTGGTCCCTCGAATCTGGCTCACTCATGTTGGGTCGAATACAACGGCTTGCTAAATCAAAGCTAATTAACAAGTCCTATTATTCTCTACGTTATCTTGTAATTAACTAATTCTGTAGATCCACTCGGCAAGGAGAGGGCTATGCGATGTCACCAATGTATAAAAACGCTTATCATCTATCCTTTTCTCAATAAGCGATAAATTTTGCCCAGGGGTATACACACAAAATATAATACAATTCTGAGCGAGGCTTACCTTGCTGTGTTGCGATGCAGACGGCTGTGGTAACGTAGCAGGGGGGTCCCGTTGCACGCGGTCGCGGGCTCTGGTTCGGGGTTGTTCAGTTGTGGAGGTCCACCGTCCTCTTGTCTTGGGCTCGGTGGCGTCGTCACAACGGCGGCACCTACTGGAATCTCGTACTTTGTCGGCAGCCCTCGGGTGGCGACGCGGTCGCAGTCACCTCGAGCGATGTTTCGGACGATCCCAGAGGCGTGCAGGTATCTCTCTGGCCGGACACAGGGAAGACGGAGGCCGGGGCTAAAGTAACCCGACGGCTCGGCACCAAGGGGCCGTGCACTGCTCCCTTAGTGGCGGCTAGTATTTTACAGCCACCGTCTGCTGCAGGCTGGGTCTGCTCCTTGGTCCTTCTTGGCCAAACAGGCTCCTGGAGGGCCTGGGAGATGATGTTGCGATGTCTCCTCGGAGAGGCCGGTCCGATTCGACGTCGTAGGATGTTGAGGCTGGAACTGCTGCTGAGTGTAGTCTACGGCAAGATCTCCTCCTGAAATCCTAGAAGGGAACCTCTTTAATCACCCCACACCTGACACCAATTTATTTTTATGTAGTATCCCGCCGTAGAGTTGGCTGAGATCTTCCAAGCCGGAGTGCGAAGTCCGATGAAGCCAAGGTAAATTTTATTTGTGGAGCTGAGGTTCACGCCGTTTAAGAGTGAAAGCTCAAGACTACAGAGCAGTTGACTATGTGAATATTTATTAAAAAAGAATGAAATAAGATGAAAGTTATACAACCACCAGTGATTACAAGAAGGCAAGACCAGAACCCTGCGAGCTGAAATTTTCTAAGTCCACTTCGCTGAGCTGAGTCGCATAGAGACGGCCCGCACGAAGTCTTCGAAAAGTGTCCCCCCTCTCCTGTGATTACGGAGAGCTTATAAACAATTTGACATCCGGTAACTGACGTCATACCTCCCTCTTATGCACTGAGTCTTGCCTTTTACATTGTCTTAGTATGGAAAGTTACAGGACATAGGTTCGGTGGACCAAGTCCACACTTGTTTACTTCATACATATATTTTTATAAAATAATCAGGCGGATATTGGGCAATGAATAGGTTCCAGCGTGTCTGGGGCTGGCAACATGTGGTTCGCCGTTCGTTTGATGCTACACCTGTGTGTTCATCTTGTAATTGGTACACTCATTAAAGTCTTGGCTATGCACCCTGTTAAATGCAAGACACTGATATACTGAGGAAGTTTGCTTTGAAGTACTGTATTGTGACTTGTCTTGTTCAACCAAGAACAGTTGTTCTGACAAAGGTTCTTCAGCATATCCATGATTTTCCTCAGATACTGAGAAAATTCCACAAATTATAGTTTGTTCTTCTGACATGCTTGGGGGCAACTATGCCTGTATGTAAAGCTGTCCCTATAATAGGCTGTCAAGGCTTCCACATTTTCTAGACAGTTGGTGCTGAGGTTGTGAACCTTAGGCACTGGTCGCCCTTTATGCCCAAGAAGATTTCTGATATTCATTTCTATTGGAGGCTGAGTTGACCCCAGGGCCGTAGTGCAGCTGGAAGGATTAGGTTAATTGAAAAATCCAGTTACCTCATCGGGAATTCAACCTGTGACCTTCCAATTTGTAGCATAGTACCCCAACTATATGTGTATATAAAATATTTATGGTTATACATGATGGAAAGATCCACTTGGGCAACTAATTGTAGATGGAAGGATAGTATTAAAATGATTCTTAGGGAGATAAATTGAATGTTATGAAAGTTCGAAGTTCAAAGTGTCTTGTGGTAGACTTCTGTAGTGGTGATGACAACGGATTTTGGATTCCATAAGAGCAGGGCATTTCTTTAACAGCTGATATCATCTGCTCAAAGAAGGCCCTGTTCCATGGAGGTGGTATGTGTTCAGTTCACATTGTGTATCAGCAGAACTCATATAGGGCAGGTAGTGCTGTCAGTCTACATGTTCCAAATTGAGAACTGATAGATAGATTTTTAAGAAGTTTGACACAAATATTATGTTGTTGGAGGCTAACTCGGACTGATGCTTTCTAATTACGTACACTTGGTAGTAACAACATGGCAAATGCATGAACTAGGGAAGTCAGAGTGACTAGTTCGATTGGCAAGATGCTGTAACCACAGTAACTATTACTGATCATGAGAACCACAGGGTAATGACATTGTTAACTATGGTATTAATAGTGTAAGATGTATGATTCTGCAATCCACCACTCCCTACCTGCTGGTGCGTCTGCCTCCTATATCATACCTTCCACTCCTTCCTAATATCAGGGTAATCTGTATCTGTATATAGGAGCAGATTGAACCGTGCAACGGTTCTTCTCTGTGAAGTTCCTTGGAGTCCCCCCCCCCCCTACGAGCCAGGACTCAGGCCGCTGCACCCCCTCTTTATACTAA